AATGTTATGCAATGGATCTCAAGTCATTCCACTTCTCTCCAACTCGCTGTGGCCACCCTGGTGTCCAAGCCACCATCACCTCTTACCTCGACCACCGCAACAGCCCCCAACTGCTCTCCCTGCTTTCCTCTATGCCCTTTACAATCCACTCACCACAAAGCAGTAAAGATCTTCCAAAAACATAAATCACATCCTGTTATTCCCTTGCTTAAAACTTCCCAGTAGCTTCCCACAATGTTTAGAAGAAAATCCACACTCCTTATGTGGCCTTCAAGTCTTTGCAGGATGTATGATGTAGCCTGTGCTTCTCTGTCCAACTCTCCCATCTGTCACTAAACTCTAGTCACCCTGGCCTAGAACAAGCCAAACTTGTCCCAGGCTCGGGGCCTTTGTGCCTGCTGTTCCCTCTGCCTGATTCCTCTTTCCTTAGCTCCTCCTATGCTCCTTCCTTCTCATCCTTCAGACCCCAGCTTAAATATCTCTTCTTCAAAAGCCATTCTGTCCAAAGCAGGTATCCCCTCTGTCACTTACTCTCCATCACTGCATCCTGTTTATTTCCACCACGGCCTTAGCACCACAGAGGTTATCTAGTGCATCAGTTTACTTGGAGACCCCCTTTCCCCAGTAGCATGTTTATGGGAGCAGGCACCCTAATTGTCTTGTTCTCTACTGTATCTGTGAGACCTACAACAGGGCCTGGCAAATAGCAGTAGTTCCATATTTGATGAAATTATGAATGAAATACTTTACAACTGCAACTAAAAGTTAGAGAAAACTAAACCATTGCAATACTTATAAATAAATGAAACAGAAATCTCAAGTTGAATAACTATTTTAAACACAGCACCACTAGTGGTAATAGGCCGAACCTGCCTACTTAATATGAACTGCACCCTGCACTGAATGCTTTACATCAATTTGTCTAATCCCCACAACCACCCTGCAAGAAAGTAGCACTATTAACCTCACACTAGAGATGAGGAGGTGATGGCTCAAAGACACCCAAGGCCACACAGCTAGCAGTGTTGAACTGAGCCTCTCCAACAACCCCCTAGAAAGACAGTATGGAAGGTTATTTTTTTTCTTTTTGCATGTCTGAAGACGTCTTTATTTTCCCTTCACATTTGATTGCTACTTTGAGGTTCGGTATAGAATTCTAGGCTGGAAATCACTTTCCCCCAGAACACAAAGGTACCGCACGATTGCCTGCTAGCTGGTAGTGTTGCTGTCAGGGAGTCTGCTGCCCTTAGGACTCACTGTACGCAGCCTCACTGGGATCTATTCTTTATCCCTGGTGCTCTGAAATTTCACAGGAATATACCTTGGTGTGGGTCTTTTTCATTCCTTGCCCTGACTACTTGGTGAGCCCTTTAAATCTGGAAACTCATGTCCTGTAGTTCTGAGTTTTCTTGTATTACTTCCTTGATAATTCCAATCCACCCTTCTTCTCTTCTCTTCTGGAAACTCCTATGAGTCAGATATTGGACTCCCTAAACGGCTTCTCTAATTTCATCTGTTCTCCCCTTTGTTCTACTCTACCTCTTTGAGTTTTTGTTCTAATTTCCAGGAGATTCCTCAACTTTATATTCCCATGTCTCTAATACATTTTTTTTTGGTGAGGAAGATTAGCCCTGAGCTAACATCAGTTGCCAATCCTCTTTTTGCTGTGGAAGATTGGTCCTGGGCTAACATCCATTCCCATCTTCCTCTACTTTATATGTGGGACGCCTGCCACAGCATGGCTTGATAAGCGGTGCACAAGTCTGCACCCAGGATCCGAACCTGTAAATCCCGGGCCGCTGAAGTGGAGAGCGTGAACTTAACCATTACACCACTGGGCCGGCCCCTCTAATACATTTTTTATATTGGTTATCTTATTTTTAATTTCCACGAGCTTTTTCTCACTCTCTTACTCTTTTTCTTTAAATTATTCTATTAAACCTTTTATATGATTTACATATTCTCTTTTGTTTTTCTCCCCAAAGCCCCAGTACATGGTTGTATATCCTAGTTGTAAGTCCTTCTAGTTCTTCCATGTGAGCTGCCGCCACAGCATGGCAACTGACAGAGGAGTGGTGCGGTTCTGCGACCGGGAACCTAACCCAGGGCCCCTGAAGCAGAGCACACCAAACTTCAACCACTAGGCCATCAGGGCTGGCTCTCTCTTACTCTTTTTTTTTTTTTTTTTAAAGATTTTATTTATTTATTTTTTCCCCCCAAAGCCCCAGTAGATAGTTGTATGTCATAGCTGCACATCCTTCTAGTTGCTGTATGTGGGACACGGCCTCAGCATGGCCAGAGAAGTGGTGCCCGCCCAGGATCCGAACCCCGGGCCGCCAGCAGCGGAGCGCTCGCACTTAACCGCTAAGCCACGGGGCCGGCCCTCTCTTACTCTTTAATTGTTTGTTTTATTCACATTCTTTTCTAGTGTCACGGATGCAATCTCTTATCTCTGAAGATGATAACTACAGGCTTTTTAAAGGTTTTCTTCAGCTCCTGGAATTGCCATCTGTTTCTTTCAAGCTCCTAACTTTTTGTTTGTGTTGGTCAGTCTTCCATGTCGGAAGATTTCCTCAGATGTCCGACTGCGGGTCATCGGCTCACTGCTCGTGTTTACACGAGGGACTACAAAGCTCACTGGTAGCTCTTCACGTAAGAACAGAGCTTATGGGGCCGGCCCCGTGGCTTAGTGGTTAAGTGCGCGCACTCCGCTACTGGCGGCCCGGTTTCGGATCCCAGGCGCGCACCGATGCACCGCTTCATCGGCCATGCTGAGGCCACGTCCCACATACAGCAACTAGAAGGATGTGCAACTATGACATGCAACTGTCTACTGGGGCTTTGAGGAAAAAAAGGAGGAGGATTGGCAATAGATGTTAGCTCAGAGCCGGTCTTCCTCAGCTAAAAGAAGGAGGATTAGCATGGATGTTAGCTCAGGGCTGATCTTCCTCACAAAAAAAATAAGAAGAAGAAGAACAGAGCTATCTACTGGTGGCTTCACCACATGACAGTCAAGAGGAGTCCTGATTTGTTGGAGTATTCCAAAACATCAACCTGTAGGTCTTTTCTCTGGGGCTGGTCAGTTTTTCCAGAGAGGGGTCCGCCAAACTTCTGCCTAGCAGGTAATAAGCCTGGCTGCTGTCATTCTGGGAGCCGAGTGGGAGAGATGGGTTTTCAATATGGTGTCTTACCACCATCCTGTGCTTATTATCTCCAAGGCTGGTCCTTCTCTAGCTAAACAGCTCCAGAGAATAAATTTTGCTTCTCTTGCCAGAGTAGGGGTGGAGCAATCACTTGGATGTGCACTAAAGGAATTGGGAAGTCTGATCACTCCTTATATAGATTTTCCACAAAAAGTTCTGTTTTTAGTCCCATGCACTTACCCCTGCCTTCCAAAGTATCTTATGTGTTTAATTCCCGAGCCTTTCTGGAGCTGTAAGAAGTGAACCTGCTCCCTTCTTGTCAGTGCATCCCTCTACAGCCATTAAGGTTTCAGCTTTTTCTGTGCTGCTAAAACAATTATCACCTATTCTTCTGCTTTCTGTCTTTCAAAAGCATGTCAATGTCTTTATTATCTTTTATCGCCTCTCCTGTTCTCTTTGCCCTTGTGGGTTTATCACTTTTTATTCTTTTTTTTTTTAAATATTATTTATTTACTTATTTCCCCCCCAAAGCCCCTGTAGATAGTTGTACGTCATAGCTGCACATCCTTCTAGTTGCTGTATGTGGGACGCGGCCTCAGCATGGCCGGAGAAGCGGTGCGTCGGTGCGTGCCCGGGATCCGAACCCGGGCCGCCAGCAGCGGAGCGCACGCACTTAACCGCTAAGCCACGGGGCCGGCCCATCACTTTTTATTCTTTTGCTACCAGTTTATTAAAGTTTAAGGAGGAAGTGAAGATAAACACGTAGGTTTTATTAACTCTGTAACCAAGGGTTGTTTGGTTCACAAAAGAAAGAAATAGAAAGAAAAGGATGAATTTTTCTGAGGCATCTGGGCAAGAGTTAGAAGAATAAAGACTAAAGAGTAAAGAACAATGAAGTTTAAAGAGGCCATATATACCCATGAGAACAGAGAATATGTAGGACATAAATAACCAAGCTGTTACTAGTCAAACCAGGTGAGGGGTAAAGTTTAGCAATGGTTTGAGTTGCCTGAGGGGGAAGGAGGTGGAGATATAAAGTATCTTTGTTTCCTTCACTGACCATCAGGTGTCCACTACTGACCCAAGACAGCTTCACGGCTATGCTTGTAGCCAATGGGTAGGAAAGGAAACGAGAGCTAGCTGCAGGTTGTTTCTGTACGCGGGTCATTCACAAGGCCGTTTCTGGGAAAATGGCTTGTTCAAGGAAGTGTTGTACTGAAGAGTTGTTATTAGACAAGAACAATACACTTGGAAAACCACTGGACAGATACCATGACCATATTAGTTGATCCCAAATCTCAGTTATCATCTAGAATACTCCAGACCTACTGAATCAGAATTTTCTATGGCTGGAGCCCTGGAATCCATTTTTAATAAATTTCCCAGGGGTTCTGACACATATTTAAGTTGGAAAACAACAGACCAAGAACATACTCCCAAATTGATTCTGTATATTTTTAAATACCCAAACACATTTGAGTAGTTGGGGACACTGATGTAGGAGGCTAACCTCTTGCTGCTGACAACATATAGAATCTGTCCTCCGAATATTAACGGTAATTCCTTGGGCTGAGTATTTTCTAAAGGCTTTTTTGTTTGTTTTTTAAAGATAGAAATTTATTCTGTTGTAATTATACTGTTTCTATATAGAAAAATGACCTCCCTTTCTTTTTTAAATTAATATTAGAGCAGTTTTAGGTTTACAATAAAATTGAGCAAATAGTATACAGATGTTTACAAAAAATATCTCATTTGAATATCACTAGCAACTACTCCTGGAATCACTGTTGGCATGAAAGTCAGCATGATGTTTTCATGCAGTAACAGCCTGTATTGTTTTCAGCTAGCCATACATACCGCTCTTGAACAGCTTTGGTGTAAGCCCCAGCATTCAGTGTTTTTCTGATCAAGTCACAGATGTGAGAGCTCTCTCCTGGGCAATGAGGGAGTCCAAAAATACCTACAGTAGAAGACAAAAATTCATCCTTCAATAATTATGTATTGAAGACCTTCTATGTCCAAGGCACTGTGAAAAATAAAAACAAACAAGAGCCAGTCCTTGATCTCATTCATTTATTCTTCAAGAAAATAATGTATCAAGAATACTATAACCAGCTTCCTCCTGGTGCTCCCACACTCTTTCTGCCTCAGGACCTTTGCACCTGCTCCTCCCTAGAGGATGTACTTCTTCTCTTACTGCTTCAGTGGCTGGCCTCATTCTCAGGTCTTAGCTTAGCAAAGTGACTACTGACTACCCTAACTCAGTAGGGCCCAATCCCATTACCTTCCCCTCCCCCAGTTATACCTTCATCCTCATCAATAACATTTGAGTGGGGTACCAGGCATAGTTCTAAGCATATACTGGCAATAATTAATTTAATCCTCAAGAGCACCCTGTGCAGTAGAAATCATTATTTGCCCCATATTACAGACAGGAAACTTTAAAACAGAGAGGTTAAACAGCCATCCAAGGTTAGACAGTAAGTAATAGGGCCAGGATTTGAACACAGGCAGACTGGCTCCAGAGCCCACACCTTTTACCAATACAACCACTATTCTGTTCCTCAAATATCATCCTATTTAGTTCTTTCTGCATTTATTTTGTTTGTTTACTTGTTTCATGTCTATTCTCCTCCCCACACTAGAATGGAAGTTTTATGAAGGCAGGGACCTTGTCTGTCTTTTTTCTAGGTTTTCAACAAATATTTGTTGAAGGAATTATAAAGCTGTTTTTACCAACTTGCATTTGAATAATACTTGTACTTTTAAAAAGTATTTTCCTACCTATTATTTCATGTCATGCTCTGAAAACTTCCTACAAGATGGGCAGGGCCATATTTTAGTTTCCCTCATCTGTGAAAGGGACCTAAAATACCAAATTACTTGCCCACGAGTAATAGTTAATTGGGTGAATCCAGCTTTCCTGATTATAAGGAGAGTCCTTCTGCCCCTCCACTGTCCCAGGTGATAGCTGTATCATTCATTACAGGGACAAAGTTCTATTCCAAAGACACATCCTTCCCCAAAAGTATCTAATTCTGTCTAAATAGAAAACCTGTTGTTTTTCAAAGGATTTAATCTCTACTGTTATATTTTACAGACAAAAAGGCTTAGACACTATTCTCTGCCTAAGCCTAAATTCAATAGGACATCTCCAGTGTCAGAAAATGGGAAAGGCTGTTAGATTTTCCTCATTCCTCAACCACCACCTGCGACGTGGCTGCAACCATCTCACCTCCAGGAGATCCTGTCAGTTAGAGAGAAGTAGATGGCAACTTAACGATTCACTTGTGTTCCAGGCCTCTGGAACCCTACATCTCTTCCTATTTCTTCATCAATGCTGGCTAGTTTGTTATAAACCAGAAAAATAGGATTTTGCAAGGAAGTCTGGCTTCTTGGACAAATAGAGCTGCTAGAATTTTAAAAAATAAAGTGGTCACATGGGTTAGAACAGAGAAAAAAGGAGGCAAAGAGGCCCAAGTTACCTTGATGTTGCCCCCCAAACGTGATCAGATTGATCATGGGAGGTGACGGACATCTCTGAGCCACTGCCCTCCTGGGGGGAAAAAAAGGATTATCAGCTCTGACTGTCAGATGGAAACGTATCGTCAACAACCAACTTCACGGATTAAGCTACTTAATTCTCTGTGGTTCCCCAAAGCCACAGACTTTCAGGATTTTCCTCTGATATGGCCAAACACAAATCTTTATCCTTTCATAGAAAATAAAGTTCCATAAAGCTTCTTACATGAGGACATTTTGGAAAAGTTTTTCTTCGAAGATAGGTGAAGATCCCAAAAGAATTAGAGGAGGAGATCTAGCTGAATAAAAGAAAAACCATCAATTCCATGTAAGTGGTATAACAGAAAGGGACTTACAGAAATTGGCCTCCCTGGGAGAATCCCATAGCATTGTAGCCTTGCTGCAATTTAGGATCCTTAGCAAGAATCTGACACACTGTTGTTACTTGGGAATTGACATTCAAGAAGAAGCTGTTCTCCACATCCTAAAAGAGGAGCCACAGTGAAGTGAAAGGATGAAAACCACCACTGGCATCTTCTCTAAGAGGTGGACCTCTTTAGGTGGGTAAACTGACACAGGCCACTCAACGTTAAAGTATCATTGCATGATTTACTGCTAAAAATACAAAGTAAAGCATTTTAATAGTACATTCTATGAAATCAGTCAGCAAACCTTCAAAGGAACAGAGTTGTGAAGCAGCTTACCTCCATCAGAGTTTTCCCAATCTCTAAAGATAAGACATAAATTCCAGGTATTTTCTTCTCAACCATTTTTTTAATAGCACCCATGCTTAAGGGATTACAACAGCTGTCTCCTAGATAACAAAGACAGTGATGGAAACTCATGAATCAAAACAACATTATTTATTAAAAAAAAAAACTTTTGTGCTTCAAAGGGCATTATCAAGAATGCGAAAAGACAACACACAGAATGAGAAAATATTTGCAAAACATATCTGATAAGGGTTTAATATCCAGAATACACAAAGAACTCTTACAACTCAACAAGAAGATAACCTAACTAAAAAATGGGAAAAGGACTTGAACAGACATATCTCCAAAGAAGATATACAAATGGCCAACAAACACAGGAAAAGATGTTCAACATCATTGGTCATTAAGGAAGTACAAATCAAAACCACAATGAGATACCACTTCAGACCTACTAGGATAGCTTTGATTTTTTTAAAAAATTAATTAATTAAAAAAATGGAAAATAAGTGTTGGCAAGGATATGGAGAAACAGGAACCCTTGTACATTGCTGGTGGAAATGTAATATGATGCAGCCACTGTGACAAGTTTGGTGGTTCCTCAAAAAGTTAAACATATGATTACCACATGACCCAGCAACTTCACTTCTAGATATATACCCACAAGAAATGAAAACATATGTCCATGCAGAAACTTGTATATGAATGTTTACAGCAGCATTATTCGCAATAGCCAAAGGGTGAAAATGACCCAAATGTCCACCAATGGATGAATGGATAAACAAATTGTGGTATATACATACAACGGAATATTATTCGGCCATAAAAAGGAACGAAGTACTGACACATGCCACAATGTGGTTAAACCTCAAAAACATTATTATAAGTGAAATGAGCCACACACAAAAGGCCACATATTGTATAATTCCTTTTATTTGATCTATCCAGAATAGGCCAACCCATAGAGACAGAAAGTAGACTGGACATTTCCAGGGGGTGGTGGGAGGTGGAATCGAGGAGTGATTACTTAATGGATACAGGTGTTTTCTAGGGTGATGAAAAAGTTTTGAAACTAGAAAGAAGGAGTAGTTGCACAACATGTGAATACACTAAATGCCACTGAATTGTATACTTTTAATATGGTCAATTGTACGTTATATGAATTTCACCTCAATAAAAAGAAAAAAAAGAACATTTTTTGCTTAGCTCATGTTTACCAAGTATAACAAACTTCAAAAGCTCACACAATATAATTGGGACACCAAATTTACAACTGAAAAATAAGCAGAGGTGCATATTCCCCTCCCTTATCATCCGGAACATTTGGGGTTCACAGACTCTGGTTTCTCCTCAGGGCCAGGACTAGCATAAGACAAGGGAAGCTCCTAGGAAGCAAAATTTAAGGAGGCACGCCCTCTCAGGTCATGCAAGCGCCGACCCTGAATTTGTACAGACTAGAGAGTGAGCGCCTCCTAAACTCCTGTTCTCTGGCCTCCTCGCCGCACCCTAGTCCCAGCCTGTTTCTTTTCCTGTTTCAGTGAACCAGAACTAAGAACCGGAAGCAAAGCGACTGGCCACTGAGGGGCAGAAGTGGACTGAGATCATTTTCCATTTTGAACTTAATCATCCCATTTTCAACCTGAGACAACGCTTAAGAAAGCTAAGGCCTGGAGCATCTTCTATTTCTCTCATAATAACATTCACCGCACTGAACTGTATGCCTCGTGATCTTGCCCAGTCTCACGGCTTTAAATACCAGCCATACACCCAAGACTCCCAATTTAAATCTCCAGCCTGTTATCTCTGCTCTAGACCCTACACTCCAAATGCCTCTACAACACCTCCGGACGTCTAACAAGCATCTCAAACTTAGTAAGTCCAAAAGCAGCCTCTTGGTCTTCTCCCCACCCCAAATTTGCTCGCCCTACAGACTTCCCCATTTTGGCAAAACGACAACTTCATCTTTCTAGTTGTCCAGACCAAACCCCATGGAATCATCCTTGACTCCTTTCTCTCTCATCCCACATCTAATCTGTTAGCAAATCCCACTGGTTCCACCTTCAAAATATATCCAAACTTTGACCACTTCTCAACATCTCCTCAACCATTAGCCTGTTTCAAGCCACCATCATCTCAATTATTGCAACAGCTTCCTAACTTGTCTCCCTGCAAATGTCCACAACCCTCTACAATCTATTCTCAGTATAGCAGCTAGAGTGGTCCTTTAAAAATGCAAGTCGGATCATGAGTGACATATGAGAAGGCCAACAAGGCCTTCCCATCTCATTCTAGCCAAAGTCCCTATAGTAGCCTTAGTAGGCCTAATAACATCTGCACTCCACCCCAACTGGACCCCTAACCTAAACCCTTGTTTTCTTCTTGCTCACTCAGTTTCGCCCACATTGATCTGAATGTTGTTCCTTGAACATACCAGACATACTTCTGCCTCAGGGCCTTTGCATTTGCTGTCCCTTCCACCAGACAGTCACATGGCATCTTCATCTTCATCCACTTCAGGTCTTTGCTCAAATGTCACTTCCTCAGTGAATCCTTTCCTGACCTTGCTCTATAAAATGGCAAGCCCCCACCTCTGGTCTCTATCCCCCCTCCCTGCTTTATTTTTCTCCATTGCGCTTATAACCATTTGACATATTATATGTTTTACTTATTTATTTCTTTATAGTCTGTCTCTCCCACTGGAAAGTAAGTTCCCAGAGCAAAGAATTTAGTCTGTTTCACTGCTGTATCCTCAACATCTAGTAGGCGCTCAATAACCATGTATTAAAAGTATAGATGAACTATGGGTGCCTAACAAATCTCGGTTCAATGTGTGAATGAAGAAAAGGATGGATGCCCCGGTCACGTAGCCACAGCCCAGCCCGCCTGACCAAGTGCCCGATGCTGCACGCTGACGCCACTGCCGTGAGGATCAAACAAAGACAGCACGAAAAACCCTAAGGCGGCGCACAGCCCTCTGTGAGCGCACACCATAAGGCAGCTCCTTCTCCTTCTCCCTTTGCAGTGCACAGCAGCCCCCAAATCCTAAAACGTCGGGCCAGCCGGGTGCTGTGTGACCACGGTCCTCGCCCTCCACACTCCCAACGACCCCAGGCTGGGAGATGGAAAGAGTCGCCAAACCCTTTTGACCCTCTTCTCACTCACTCCCTCCCTCCCTCCCTCACTCACCCATCCCATGCCAGATCACCAGCGGCAGCGGCGCCGGCGGATCGAGTTGCCCCAGCGCCGTTGCGGCGCAGGATGCCCGCAGGAGAGCGACGGCCAAGAGCCACAACGAGCTGGGCGACGCCATCTTGACTCAATCACATGACCGCGCTCCCCCCGCGAAGGCTAGGAGCGGACGGGGGCGGACCGCGCCCTCCACGCCTCTGCCTTGGCCGCCTGGCGGAGTGGGCGTGGGCCCCGGCGTGTCGCTCTAGTAGACAGCCCGCCGCGATGAATCAAAATGAATGCCAACCTTTTTTCAGCGCTTACCACACATCAAACGGTATTCTAAGTGCTTTACATCTGTTAATTGATGTAATCCTCATAACAACGCCGTATATGCACTTCTCCCCATTTTACAGGTCAGGACACTGACGCACTGAGAATTTGGCTAAGGTGTCAAGGTCACAGAGATAGCACATTGGTGGGTCCAAAGTCCAAGCTCTTAACCACTGCACTCTGAAAGAAAAATACTTTGTGGAAAGAAGGAAGAAAGGAAGGAAGGACTCAGCTTTCTATTAGAAATGGAAGGGAGGGATAATTTCCAGCCGGGGCTAATTATGGTAGGGTGTGGTGTTTGTTCTGGATCTTGAAGGAAAGATAGGATTTCAACAGGCAAAGATGAAATGCGAGAGAAGGACTGGAAATGGCTAAGGTAGAGAAAAGAAAAAGTATGGTGTGTTTTCTAGAAATGGCAGGGCTTCTAGACTGACAAGAGCATCTGTTGGACGTATAAGAGCGGTGGAAATAGCCACTGCCACTTCCTGGTCTGATATCAGAACTGGATTATTGCAGGAGCCAGTGATCTACCATTTCCCCCTTTTCCATGCCCCTCTTTAATCCACTTTATGTTCTATTGCCAGGTTCGTTATCTCAATCCACTTTCATCTCAGTTCCCTGTTCAATTTTTTTTCAGAAAAATATCGAAATAGTTTGAATAGAGAATTTGTTAAGTAAATTAGGGTGTATCCACTGCACAATGGAATATTATGAGGCGAGTGTTATAAAGGATAAGGCAGATTTAAATATAGTGGCATGAAAAATGTCCTCAATAAATTGTAAAGGAAAAGCTGGTTAAACACTCACAGGAAGCCCTTTTGTCTGATGCTGTTGGGATTGGTGGGTAGCTGTTAATTGAAAAAGTCAATTAAAATGCAGAATCATAAAGTATTATGCAATATACAGTTTTATTTAAGAAAAATAAGTTTATTATTATAAGCATTTTCTTTTAATGTAAGACTTATAAATGTAAATTCCTTCACCAATCTTTTGAGGTAGCCTCAGGCCTTTTCTCTGATTATGGGGCCTCTGATTGAAGCATTTCTTGGAGTGATTTGTGCTTCTTGCCTTTGACAAATCATCTATGATTTCTTTCAATGTTTCTTTAAAGTGGAGCAATAACTGGAAAACGCTATGAAGCCATCTGAATGCGAAATTCTTCTGGATGTGTATAGTTTTCCAATCACAGATTTCTCATCCATACCTAATTTAACAATTTTTTTAGCAACTTACCTTTAAGAGTCTTTCCAAAGCATTCAACTTAGTTTTCATAGAAACATCTCTTGTATCTTTATACTCGTATTTCATACATTTTCAAAAATTAAATTAAATTATAATAGCAAATATCACTGACATAAATAAGTAGAATAAACCCAACTGACATTTGGCAGTCAGGTAGCTCAACTGGCAGAAAAAGAACTACCCAGAAGCTCTCAAAAGTAACGTCCTAGCCATGTTTAGCGTGCTGTGGACATCTGTAAGCACATTTTAGAATTGGGCGAGTGGGTTAAACAGGAACTAAGAAACTACCTATGTGATTTTGCAAAAAATATATATGTTGTGGTGATGGTTGCACCACTCTATATTTAGTAAAAATCATTGGGTTGTACACATGAAATGGGTGAATTTTATGGTATGTAAAATCTCCCTTAATAAAGCTCTTCTTTAAACATCTATATATTCACGTATTTCCACAGCTTTTCACCGAAAGGCTGAAGCATTGGCAAGAAAAAATAGAGAAAATAAATATAGAAAAAGATCAGGGAACTGTTACAAGTAATATTCTTGGGGGCTGTATTATAAGGAACTTTCACTTTTTACTTTATACACTTCTGTATGGTTTGAATTTTTACAGGAAGGGTAAATAACTTTTATTTTAATTTTCTCCAGGTTTTTTCCCCAGTTTTATTGAGATATAATTGACATAAAACATTGTATTAGTTTAAGGTATACAACATAATGATTTGATATATGTATAGATATATAACTTTTATAATCAGAAAAAATAAAGATTTATAAATATATACATTAAAAGTTATAGTACTACTAGGTTAAGATAATGGAATAAAGCTTTCTCATAGACTTTGTTTCCACCAATACCTAAGAAAATTTAAAAAGTTAAAATTTCATCCATAGCAAACAAAGGGTAACAACTCAGTATCTTAAATGTCAACAAGTGGTAGTCAAGGAAAGACATAGCAGATTCTGGTCTGGAGCATGTCAAGGCTTCCAGTCCTGCCTCCATTCCATCAAAACTCATACTGTTAGGTCCACAAAATCCTGGGAATTAGCACATACCTATGCACAAATATTCTAAGAAAAAAGAAAATTAAGTGGTTTCCTTTTTTTTTTTTTTTTTGAGGAAGATTAGCCCTGAGCTAACATCTGTTGCCAATCCTCCTCTTCTTGCTGAGGAAGACTGGCCCTAGGCTAACATCCATGCCCATCTTCCTCTACTTTTATATGTGACGCTGCCACAGCATGGCTTGATAAGCAGTGCGTCTGTGTGTGCCCAGGATCCGAACCTGTGAATCCCAGGCCCCCAAAGCAGAGCGCTTGCACTTAACTGCTAAGCAGTGGGGCCGGCCCCAAGTGGTTTCCTTATCTTTCATCCCTTCTCTCTGGAAAGTGAAAATGGCTACTGGGAGAAAAAGGTAAAATGAGAAGTGAAGAATAGACTAACTCTGTTAGGTAGCAGTGAAGACTCCAAGAAATCATACTGAATTGAGGGAGGTGCCAAGGATTGAGGCTGTTTCCCACAGCAACCCCTAGTAGAGGGAAGTCTGGAATAGACACTTAAAACCTCGAAAGTGATTGCAGAACTCAGGTCTTCTAACAAAGGCTGCACACCACCTCCTCTGAGTTCTGCCCCCTCTCCCTCTTCAGACAAGCTTAAATCATAGAAAAAGTGCATACAGCATAAAATAACAGCCCTCAAATTGCAGTTCATTAGGAAAACCAAACCAGTTTCAGATAAAGTGGGAAGGAATTCAGGAGGCAAGTAGAAACGGAAAAAATTCACCCTAAGTGCTTTGAGCTTTAGAATAACCTAAAAAAAAAATGAGCTCAGTAGACTAAGAACTCAAAAATGAGATAATAAAACAACTGAAAGAGATGAATAGGGAAATTGCGCATCTGATAAAGCAAAGACCAAAACAATATCATAGAACTAATAAATACATCAACACAGCAAGCAACAGAATAGACACGGCTGGAAATGGAATATTGATGTGGAAAAAAGGCTTGAAATAATCACAATAAAGGCAAATGAAAAACACAAAGAGATTAAAACAATCAGAGAGAAGCTAATAGATATGGAAGACAGAGGTTACTGGCGTCCCTGGAGTTGAGAACTCATTAAATGGAACAGAGGAAGTATTCAAAAATATAAAAACAGAAGTTTCCTCTAAAATGATGAATTAATCTGTAGCTTGAAAGGTCAAAACAAGACATTTTGATACAAAATATTCAATTCTGAGACCTATTTTAATTAATTTATTGAAATTCTGGCATCCAGGCAGAAAAAGTAGATTTACAAGAAAAAAAAATCAGGCTGTCCTCAGATTTTTCAATAGCAACATCCAGAGACAGAAAACAATGGAGCATTGTCTACAGAGTTTTGAAAGAACAAAAGGATGATCCAAGAATATTATACCCAACCAAGATAAATAAAGGTACCATGCAAATTCCCCCAAATATAAAAGGACTCATAGAAAAGAGAAATACTTGAAAGTAGAATTCAGACAATTAAGAAATAGGATAAAATTAAGAGTTTAAGAATTGAGAAATTTTGGTAAAAGGATTTGTGATGATCACTGAATCCATTTAAATATATAATTAATACTGAACACTTTCGTGAATTATTGTTTTAGAGCATATATATCTTATATAAATTAACAATGTGTAATAATATGACTAAGAAATAGTGGGCCTTAAGGGAAGAGGTTACGGAAAATAGAGTGTGTGCACCGATGTCCTGATCTTCCACAGCAGGGTGAGTTGATTCTAATTTAAAATATATTTTTTAAAAAATAACAGAGCAACATAATATCAATATTGCTTTTCCTAACCTTAAATTGATATTTTAAGAAATAATAGCACTTGTAGTGAATAAACCTTTATTTGATGTCCAGCTTTTCTTTTAGTTTCTTCAAGTAAGCTTAAATTTAATACTTTTTAATTTTTTTGTGTGTGTGTGAGGAAGATCAGCCCTGAGCTAACATCCATGACAATCCTCTTTTTGCTAAGGAAGACCGGCCCTGAGCTAACATCCATGACAATCCTCTTTTTGCTAAGGAAGACCGGCCCTGAGCTAACATCTATTGCCAATCCTCCTCGTTTTTTTTCCCTTTTTTCTCCCCAAAGCCCCAGTAGATAGTTGTATGTCATAGTTGCACATCCTTCTAGTTGCTGTATGTGGGACACCGCCTCAGCATGGCCGGACAAGCGGTGTGTCGCTGCGTGCCCAGGATCTGAACCCGGGCCGCCAATAGCAGAGTGCGCGCACTTAACTGCTAAGCCATGGGGCCAGCCCCCTTTTTAATTTTTAATTAAAGGTATATTAAGATACCATTTTAAAGAGTAGATCTATCTATCTATATGTCTATTTGTCTACCATTCTATCTGTATAAAAGCATGGAAAGATATTTAGAATGATGTTAACCAAATATTAATAATCGTTATTTTTAGATAGTGGGGTGTAGGGGTTTTAAAATTTTTTTCCTTTGTGCTTTTTTTTTGCATTGCTTAAATTCTTTACAATGAAAATGTATTATTTTTATAAGAACAATAAACTGGCTTTTCTTAAAACAAAACAAAACGAAAAACAAAA